TTGGGTGGAAGTGGGGGTCGGGGTGGGCGTGGAGCGTCACCAGTTGCCAGGCCAGCACTGCCTTTGCAACATATTCAGATGGTGGCGGCAGCTTGGCAAGAACTCAGACCCAGCCAGTGCTCCCACCCAAGTGCCAGTTCCCAACTCTGATGCCTCCATCTACAGAGCCTTGTCCGCCAGTGGTATCCGCTACTCTGTGTCCGGTGTGCCTAGGGATCCCAGGCGGTCTCAGCAACATAGAGCGAGAGGGAGCGGGCTTGGGGAACCATGGCGGGTATGGGGGCCCTGCAGTGCTCAGGATTCCTGCAGAAAGGCTGTGCACTTGCTGCGCTGGAGCAGAGGAGCAGGAGGAGGTCAGGTCGCCCTCTAGAGTCTGGAGTCCGAGGAGTCTCCTTCTTTGGAGGCCAATTCTGTTGCTGCAACCTCTGCCGCCACCAGCAGGGCAGCCCCTGACAGAGCCCCTAACCTGCCGCCCGCTGTTAGGGGCTATTGGCCCCGGGATAAAGCCCCTAACACCCTCCCCTCCTGACCTCGTGATCTGCCCGCCTCGGTCTCCCAAAGTGCTGGAATTACAGGCGTGAGCCACCACACCCGGCCTCTTCTAAGAGTTTTATAGTCTTCCCTTTTACACTTAGGTCTAGGATCCATGAAAGTCAATTTTTGTGCATGACGTGAAGTCAGGTCCAGCCACAGTCTTTTGCATGCGGCTACCCTGTTGGCCCAGCACCATTTGTTGAAATGATTGCTTTCAACAGTCGTGGAATTGTCTTGGCACCTTTGTTGAAAATTAATTGACTGTAAATATGAGGGCTTATTTCTGGACTCTCAATTCTATTCCATTGATCTATAGGTCTATTCTTATTTAGTACCTCACTGTCTTGATTTTGTAGCTTAGTATTTTAACAGCAAGTTTGGAATCAAGAAATGTGAATTCTGCAACTTTGTTTTTCCTTTTCAATATTGTTTTGAGTATTCTTGGCCCCTTTGAATCTCCATATGAATTTTAGGATTGGCTAGTCAATTTCTGCAAAAAAAAAAAAAAAAAAAAAAAAACCAGCTGAGAATTTTGATAGGAATTGTGTTAGGTCTATAGATCAATTTGGGGTATATTGTCATTTCAACAATAGTAAGTCTTTTGTTTCATGAACATGGGATGTCTTTCCACTTATTTAGGTCTTCTTTCATTTCTTTCAAAAAAAAATCTAGGTTTTAGAATATAAGTTTTGGACTTTTAAATTAAATTTATTCCTAAGCATTTTATTATGTTGATGATATTGTAAGTAGAATTTTTAAAAACTTTCCTTTGAGATTGTTCATTGCTAATATGGAAATACATTTTTGTGTGTTTTTATATATTGACCTTGTATCCTGTAACCTTGTTGAACTATTTTGTTAGTTCTACCAGCTTTTTTTTTTTTTTTTTTTAGTGGATTCCTTAGGATTTCCTATATACAAGATCCTGTTATTGGCAAATAGGGGTGTTTTTACTTCTTCTTTTCTGATCTGGATGCCTTCTATTTTTCTTTTCCTGTCTAATTGCCCTGGCTAGGGCCTCCAGTACAATGTCCAACAGAGTGGCAAGAATGGCCCCCGCTGTCTTGTTCCTGACCTTTCATCATCAAATATCATGCTTGCTGTGTGATTTTTGTGTCTTTCATTAGGTGAGGGAAGCTCCCTTATATTCCTAGTTTGTTGTGCATTTTTATCATGAACAGGTGAATTTTGTCAAATACTTTTCTGTATCTATTGGAAGATCAGATGGTTTTTGTCCTTTGTTCTCTTAATATGTTGCATTACAGCAATTGATTTTTGAATGTGAAACCAACCTCACATTCTTGGGATAAATCCCATTGATCATGGTGTGTAATCTCTTTCCTATGTTGTTGAATTTGATTTGCCAGTATTTTGTTGAGGATTTTTTTTTGTATCTATATTTATAAGAAATATTGGTCTGTTGTTTTCTTATATCTTTTTCTGCTTTTGGCATCAGGGTTATGCTGGCCTCCTAGAGTGATTTGGCAAGTATTTCCTATTGATATTTTTTGGAAGAGTTTGGGAAAAACTGGTATTAGTTCTTCTTTGACTGTTTAGTAAAATTCATCAGGGAAGCCATCTGGACCTCGGATTGTGGACAATTTTTCAAGTATGAATTAAATCTCTTTTTTTGTTTTAGTTCTATTAAGATTTGTGATGTCTTCATTCTGTTTCAGTAATTTGTGTGTTTCTAGGAATTTGTCCATTTCGTGTCTAGTCTGTTGGCATGTGGTTGTTCATAGAGTTCCCTCAGAATCCCTTTTATTTCTCTAGGGTAGGTATGATATCCTCTCTTTCACTCCTGATTTTAGCACTTTGAGTCCTCTCATTTTCTCTGTCACTCTAACTAGATGTTTGCCAATTTTACCAAAAACACAACAATTGACCTCCCACTAATACTATAACAACTGATCCAAATTGCCAAAGACCCCATTTCATCAATTAAAGAGTCACATTCCCGTCCTGAGTGGAGGACTTCACATGTATTTTTGTGGGTCACAAATTCAACACCTAACATCATCTCTCTCCAGGCAGCCAACCAACAACAACCCCCTCCCAGACTCCTAGCACCTGCTGCTCGCTCCCATTATCCAGCCACCACTTAGTTTCCATCCACCCATGCCACCAGCCAACATATCCTCTTCTCTCCATTCAATCTGTTCTGCTTCTACTCACCCACTCCCATCCTCCCATCCATTGCCACTTCATCTGTCCATCCATCTCTTCCCAAGTAATTTATGCCACAGACAGTTATGGAGTCTTTCTCTGGTACCAGGTCCAGTGCTAGGAGCCCCAGAATGAAGGAGGACATGAAGCTTCTCCGCATAGTGGGTGGATGGGGACGTGCCAGTGCGCAGGCATTTCAAGAACAAGAACTCCTTCTCAACAAGGAGATGGGATGGGATGAACCTCACCCATGCCATTCCTCCTGGTTCTTCAGTGAAAATGGCATCCCTGGGCTGAGGGATCTCCAGGTCCCTCCAGTACGGCATCCTGTCTGCTGGTTATCCGGCCTTTGCTGACAAGCAGCCTGCCCTCTGGAGCAGCCCTGGGAAACCTGAGGTTAAGCACAGATCCGCCTGGGGCCTCAGCACGATCCGGCTTTCTTCTCCCTCTCACAGGGCCTCGCACCGTGGTGCACGTGCACTGCTCAACCCACTGGGGGCCATCGAGAGCGTGGCCTCGTCAGACTGCCTGGCATCCCAGTCACCACGCGCGCGCTGGCCCCTGCGCTTTGAAGTTGCTGCGGATGCCTCTAATGTGCACAGTGCCGTGACTCCGCGGCCTGCCTCTGTGGACTGATGTTATCGGACAGGGCGGATTGACAGCGATGGGTCGTTTGCCCAGTAACAGAGCGGTCGCCACGATAGGCCGTGCTTCCCAACTCAGAGCAGTCAGCTGCCTTCTCTGCCCCTCGACCTCTTGCTGGATGCGCCTCTCAGCCCGGGTGAGCCCCCTAGTCCTGAGCCTTGTCAGGCCTTAGAAGATGTCGACTCGGGGCCCGCATTTCTTGCAGCCCTTCCCATGTCTGCTTCCATGCTCTGATGGTAGCTCAGTGCCCTCGTGACGGGCGTCACGGTCCATGCCCTCCCCAGTGACGGGTAATCTAAGTGCACCTCAGTGCGACTGGGTACCCTCAGCTCCATGCCTGTTCGCTCAGCGGCCCGACATGCTACACGATCCCACCCTCCGCCCAGGACCTGGCCTCCTGCCCCCTCTTGCGTCCTATTCTGTCCGCTAGCGTTTCACCACCCAGACCGCCACATCTGAGTTCTCTCATCCCCTGTAACCACTCCCCACCAGCGGATGAACAGACCAGCGCGCGAGCGGCGCGCGCGAAACATCTCCTCCCAGGAAACGCGCATGCCTCTGCCGACGCGCGACTTCGCGCGGTCTTTGACTGTCAGCGTCTTTTCGTGCTGCCAGCGGGCGCGCGCACGCGCACTGCGGGCACAGGGGCCGCCGGGCCCCAGCTCATCTTCAGCACAACCCTCGAGGCTCTCTGCGGATCTTGCACTGCTCCTGCTGCAAATGCACGTGGCTCTTCTCCCTCACCGGCACAGGTCGAGCTCGCCCCGCGTTGGTAAACACGGGCCCGCGGGCGACAAGACCGGCACAGCGGGGGGGCGCACGCAACGGCGGCGCTCACTTCCTATCAGCTCACTGCACCGCCCTTCGAGCAGACACACACACGTTCCTTCTGACATCGTCTGGTGTGCAGGCTCCGGTTGAGGCGGGCAGGACCTGCAATGCACCCAAAAAACAGCAGAAGTCTGGCCCAATGTGGAGTTTTCTATCTGCATGGACCCCACTTCAAACAACCAAATCAAAAAATCAGCACCACAGGCGCGTGTAGGATGTTACGATCGGGCAGACCGCAAAATCGACCACAGCAGGCAGTGGCAGCATTGGCGCGCGACCCCTCTCGGGGCGCGCGCGCGTGTGACAAACAACAGGGAACTACCGTCCGGGCACGCCCTCAGCCCGAGCGCCCCTGCTGCGAGACATCGCAGCGCTCTGACATCCCGCGCACAGTGACGCGCGGCGCGCCTGTGGCGGTGTGCGAGAGTGCCCACACTCAACCTGCTCTCCCCTCTGCGCCGTTGCCGCACGGAGGGCTGCGAGACGGCAGCCACTCGGGCTCGCCCAGGCCGGTGGCTTCTGGATCTCTGTGAGCGCTCCAGTTCTCACTAATTCTCTGCCTGCGACAGCGTCCATTGTGCGGCCGCCTACTCCCGAAGCGCTGTGCAGCGCCAGTGGCATGCCCAGAGCCGGAAGCACTTGAACAGAGAGCGCGGATGGGCTTCAGGGCGCACCCCACGACGTGGCGCTCGTACTGTGCACCGCACTGGGTGCCAGGGCGCGGCGGCCCTGGCGCGCGTAACTGCGGGGCCCGCGCGCAACACACACAGGCGGGACAGTGCGCGAAAGAGCCCTAAATTACGGCGGCGCCCGGCGCCCGCGCAATGGCGCTGCCCTTGGATCGAGGCACCGGCTCTGAGCGAGATGCGCTACGCTGCGACAGCTTGCGAAGGCCCCGACCCCCAGGGCGTTGCGGCGTGAAACAGGTCACGCCCTGCCATCCGAGTCTCCTGGGCGTCACTGCGAGCGAGAGAGGCATCCCTGACTGCGAGAGAGCCGATGGCCCGTAAGAGCGTCACTCCAGTCCCACAGAGACCAGGCGCGGTGGCCCCAGCGCCGCACAGCCCATAACACAGACTTATGACCGGTCACGCCGCACAGCAGACGGCCAAAATCACAGTCACAGTCACCAAAATCCTGCAGGGCCGCTCGCGCGAGCATGCCCTGCGCTCGTGACCTGCCTCCTGCGAGCTCAGTTCCCTTGGGCGCAACTGAGCGACCCTCTGCTCATCCTCCCCAACAAACGCGACAAGCTGCCCTCGCCTTTGAACACAACACGCGAGGCATCTCCCAGTGGTGGCAAATTAGGCCTTTGCGCAGAGGATTTGCTGGTGGATTCCAGCAGCTGAGGACCTCGGGACCTAGCGCGCGCGCGCGCGTTGCTGGAAGGCTTCCCGCGACTGTGTGGATGTCGGACGTTAACGCATTGGCACTTCACATCCCCCAGGGCACTGCAGACTTGCGGACACCACCTCCAACGCGGGAGAGAAATCACAATGTGGGCTTTGCTTACTTTCATGCTTCAAAATGCACCTATTTGAGTTATGAATATGCATGGCGACCATTTATCATATGCATGTATTGTGACATAGTGTGTGCTACTCCTAATCCACTGCTCATCAGATCAAACATCAAGTTGAGAGAACTGTATGATTTCATGTGATCAAGGCGGGCATACAAAGCAGCGTCATTTATAAGTAATTTTAAATGATCTCATTGATCTTTTTGCTAAATTACAAAAGGACAGCCATGCTCCTAGGATCCCCCCCCGCCCATTCCAATGATACGCCTGACGAAGGCACA